GCCGCCTCTCACCGCCTTTGGAGGACACAAGCTGACGGCCTCTGACTGCTCTCTGACGGGCCGTTTGAAACCTTACTCATGCAATCACTTTGGTCGGTTTATTTATTTATATTCGCAGTAGTCCTTCCCATGAAGAGGCCTGTGCGCGCGAGAAAGAGCGACAATGCGAATCAGCAGGAAGAGAGGGAGGAAGAGAGAGAGAGACAGAGACAGAACGAGGGTAAGAGGAGAGGGGAGGAGGGGGGTAGCGATTTTTCTCCCCCTCTCCAGCCGGTCCTTCCCTCACCTCCCCTGGGGACATCTCCGTTGCCACCGCGCGCGGCGCGCCCTCGCCGCACACAGGCAGCGGCAGCGCGTGTGAACTCAATGTATATGACTCGATTATTGTTTCATGCTCTCCGGGAACAATCCTAAATGAACCCCACGGTCCTGATTGGCGCATGCTGCACTTGTTATTGGCCTGCCCGATGGTCGTTGCGATCCATATCCACTGATGACGATTGCGATTGCGCTAGAAATAGTGCCGTCACAATGCTCCCCGGGCCGAGCAGTCCACATCCATAACTCACTCCAGCGTCAAAGTGACATGAGCGGCGTCACGGACAGGTCCCCAGCATGCAGGTCCATCACAAAACTATCCTGCAGGTTAAAAAAAAACAATCATGCAAAAAAAATGTGTTGTATCTGCTAACCTTGTTTCCCACTTGCTCGGTACGCTCCCAACCGACCTATCCCCTCCCTCTCCCGCATTTCCCTTTTACACCAACCACCCCATATTCGCCATCCCCGCCCCTTCACTTTATTTTTTTCCCCTCCCAGCCTCGCCTGGTCTGGCCTGCTCCGTGTCACGGTGTCGATCCGCAGAGGTAATGGGGGACCAGTTTATTCACGCGCTGGTAACACACGCCAATTGGCGCCCCGCCCCGCCCTGCCACACCCCGTAGAGGGCCGCAGCCGGCACCACGTTTTGGCGTTTTCAATTGAGAATTTATCTCTCTGTCGCACAGACGATTTTATTATCGCTCGAAGCGCCGCGCGAGCGCTCCGATAAAACTCAGGGTAATCGAAACAACCCTTTATTTGATGCAGTTTTTGTTTTTCTGTATCAAATAAACCAAAACCAAAACAATCGAGGCTTGTGCTTGCATTATTTTTTGCTCTGGCCTATGGTGAAAGAACAATGGTGCGGATCGTGAAGTTTTGAGGCCGTAGTATAAGAGTATAGAAGTTCGGTTTATTCAACGGCAATAACGGTATACGTAACCAAACTTAGGTACCTTGTTGTCACATCGTTGATTTTCCCATGTTCTACTGTCGCATGTAGAGGGACCAGTTTTGGAAACAAAATTTCCTCCGGTCCGGGCACGAGAACGTTGTCACTTTTCTAAGAACAAAATTGTCCACTGTACATTTAGAATGAAAACGCCAGAAGTGATAAGACCTGTCTCAGTAAAAAAACTGAAACACATGACAAAACACACGAAGTGTCCGGAAACAAGTCAATCCGGCTGCACGACGCTGGCGGTGCCCTGCTCCGGTGAGGTGAGGTGTAGCGCGGTGCGGCACACGAAGGCGGCGCGGTGGGGGAGCTGACGCCGAGCTGACGCTGAGCTGACAGCCTCATTAAATACCGATAAGTCAACTGCGTAGCCCGGTCCAGGGGACCCCCTGGCCGGGCCCACCATAACGTCTTAAAGAGGGGACGTGTTTTCGTCAAAAGACACGTCCGTGATAGCAGGTGAGTTCATTTCTCAAGCCGGCGCGCGCGTGTGTGTGAGAGTGGTATGGGGTAAAAGAGGGAGAGAGAGAGGGAGATAGAGAGGAGAGAGAGAGAGAGAGAGAGAGAGAGAGAGAGAGAGAGAGAGAGAGAGAGAGAGAGAGAGAGAGAGAGAGAGAGAGAGCGGTGGGACACTCCTGCTTACGGCCCGCCTGGCGCCTCAGAGCTTCCGGCGGCGGCCCCGGTCCCCCCTGGTCCGGGTCCCCTCTGGTCCGGGTCCATTAATTGCTGTCCCTGTTAGCCCCGGCCGCCCCCGGGACCGCCGGTTGGCGTGGCGCCCACGAAGGATTTGTTCGGATTAGAAAGCGATACAAGTTCACTCCTTTTCAATTACCACTTGAATCGGTGTGGTCATAGACACTACTGCTGGCAGGGCAAATGCAGAGATCTTTAATTGCTGTCGTGTTTGCGGGAAGAGCAAGTCTTTCCCTTGCACTGGATCGATAGAAGATGGGGGGGGGGGGCAGGCTGCGGACTGAGACCTCGACCCGTCGATGGAGCAATTGATATGGTTGTTTGTCTGCGGGGCGACCCGACAAAGGTGATCGGCGCCAGGCTCGTCTCATGCGTTACACCTACACCTCCCATCTCTTTTTTGAGGTGAGATCCTTTTGTTTACTCGAGTGCATTACAGAACAAAGTATTCAACACATCTGTCCCAATATAGTTCTTGTAGACCGGGTGTTTCTTTGAATGCGATCCACTTTTGCAGGTTTGCCTCGAATATACTGGCTAGCATGTAGACGTGCGGACGAGTTGCCTAATCGTACGGGGCCACGACTACAGACGCAAACATACGCATGAGATACGAGCTAATACATATGCCTTTGCTAGAACGGGGAACATCGATACAAGTTTAGATTACATTTTAAATTTTAGATCCAGAAATTCACGCGGGCGCGCGCGCGCGCACGCACACACACACACACACACACACACACACACACACACACACTCCCCTTCGCCCGAGCCTTCGCCAAATAACAGCGACACGACAGGCGGGACCGGGACCCCGGACACACTTTGTTACAAGGCACAACATCTCGCAGGGCGGGCGCCGCAGCGGGGCGTGGCGGGGCGTGGCGGGGCGTGGCGGGACAGAGGACGAGGAGGAGGGTCTCGTTGCCGCAGCTAATGAGACGCTAACTGCCCCCGTGCTCTTTAGTTTGGTCCCCGGCCGCCCGCCCGCCGTCGCCCCGAGCAGGCCCACAAGTGAGCCCACACCCCGCGCCGCCGCCCGCCTCAAAGGCCGGCGTCGTTGACGGCGTGCCCCGGCCCTCGCGCTACCGATAGGGAGAACCGCCCGCCGCAGACCTACACGAGACAGGCAGTGATATCTGTCTGTCTGTCTGCCTCCCTCTTTTCCTCTTCCGTCACTGTCGTGCAGCCTGATCGACCCGGCTGGCTGCCTACCTCCACGGCGAGGCTCTCGACAGCGCGGTGGGCGGATGTTGCCGCCGGGGGCTGCATAGCCCAAGGCGATGAGAGGTCGCGCCGCCAGCGGGCTGGGCGCTTTCATCTCGCCCCACATTACAATCATCGCAAAATCTTTGACGTCTTCCTCACGACGCGTCGGGGGAATGGAACACGTCATCATCACGAGCTCGTCGCTCGCACGCAACGCCAACGGGCAGGAGCCGCCGCTACCCACATCGGCGGCGGGGTCTGGTCGGGGGTCCACAGTTAGTAGTAGTGGACGCACGCGGAGAGAGACGCTGCCCCGGATAGTTGATTCTCTCCCTCTGTCGCTCCTTCAGGACCCACCGCACCGCGCACACGACGCGTCCCCTCTCCTGACGGCCGTCTTCCGTTAGGACGGGCCACTTCCGACAAAATGTCTTTGTAATCTACGCACCTCGTCTCGTCTGGGGCCGCTCGCCGTTCTCACGAATCATCATCATGGCAGGAGCAGGTGGGTGTTCTAGACACAACCCCAAAATGTGTACGCATACAAGTTAACGGGTAGGGGGGTATTTGTGGTGATGGGATCTCCAGAGCGCATAGGAAATTCTCGAATCAATATCAACTCAAATGTTTTACCATTTCACGCCAATAATCTTTGTGTCCTTCGCGGCTGGAGGAGCAAGGGGAGAATATCCAGGAAAATCCAAACCGGCACAAAGTTAAGAAATTCAGGCTATTTAATATTTTCAACTCCGTCTCCTCAGATTTTCTAAGTGGGTTTGCACTCGTTTTCATAGCGTTTTCACAACTGGTTCCGGTCCGGTCTTGATTTACTAGCCTCATCACTGACATGACGAACGTCCTGGCAGTTGTGGGCTCATTTTATGTCGAACAAAAACGTGAGGGTGACGATCTAGATGCCTCATGAGGGCCCTACCCTCACCCTCCGGCAAACAATAATCGTTCCGTATTTATTCTTTGCCAGTCATCACGAGTAAATGTGGAATAATACCGTTTTGAACTTTCGGTACTCTACTTTTAGATTCCGATCTCTCTGTGCGGAGTGGAGCGAGGTGGGTGGCGCGGCGCTCGCTGCCCTGACGTCGTCACGCGGCTCATTACGGGGGCTCCTGTCATCAGCGGCCGCCTGCCGCCTCGGCGACCTGCTCCCGCAGCGCTCCTCCTGCTCCTCGGAGTCGCCCGATGATGATGAGACGCCCGAAGAGCTGCTTCGCCTCCCGTTATGATAAGGTCACCGTGCTTTACTCACGTGGGGTGATGTATGGTGTGTATTCCGCAGGAGCAGTACGGTGGCAGCCCACCACCGCGGGGGGCGACAGTTAGTGGCAGGAAAGGTGTGTGCGCTTCGGAACTCGGCCGCTACTCCCCCTCACTACCCCCCTGCGGGCGTGGGTCGGGTAGTACACGGGGGTGGCGCTGGCCGGCTGGTCGTTACTCTGACAGTTTCTGCCGCCAAGTAAGCGTCTGCCACCGGCAATCAAGCCACCACTTCATCAGGGCTGTCAACGGCCGGCTAACCCCACCGCCACTGGCCTGGCTGCTGTGCGCGCCGCCCCTCCTGGCCACGCCGCGCCACCACCCCTCCGGCCAGGCCAGCGATGGCCACTCACCACTCTAGCGCTCAGCAAGCTCCTGAATTATTTCCCAGCTTATGAGAAGATCTGGTTCAGGCGTGCTGGAGGGGCGCATATAGCGCTCATCGCATGCTCTCCGTCGCCGTCGCGTCGGTGTCGGTTGGGTTCTTGTTGTGGCTGTGTTTGGTAAAGGGTGAATGTGAAAAAACAAAAACAAAAGAAAACAGGTTTCTATTCAAATGCTTCTGTATTTCGTGAATATCGATATGTATACTTTCGAAATATGTACAAATTTGTAAGATAATCATTAGCATGTACAATCAAAAGTGGTACTTACGGCCATAACTAAAAGAGATCAATAATTTTTATGTACACAATAAAATCACTGACTCAATTAATAAAAAAAAATGTACAGGTTTATTTAACATTATTATGTAAGCTAAAACAAAACAATTTCAATAATCAAGATTTAAACAATTCATGAAACACTTCCGTAAAAATCATAGTTGACTATTTTGTCATATTGCACTTTCTAATTTTCATACTCCTAGTATGGTTGGAAGCTCTATTACATACACAGGCTTTACCCACAAACAATAATACGGCGTGTAAAATTAATTTACATTCGTCCCACTAAACAAATTTTAGAGAGCGGAAATTACATTGTGAAATAATTTATTAAAGCTGATTGAAGATTGAAATTAAGAACTTCCCTAAGTAGATAATATTTGGTCAACTCGTTCCAAAACAAGAAGTTTACCTCCTTCCGTTCCAAATCCCGCAACGGGTAACACGGGCTGCCCAGCCAACGAATCACGGCCTTGACGGATGTTTTTGCAATCTCCGAGGACCACGTAGGAAGTACGCGACGATTATGAGAAACGACGGCAAATCACCGGCACGCCGCTAAATGCCGCCAAGATGCCTTTTTGCGGCCGGCGCGCGGCATTTTCTTCATTTATCAAATATGACTTGCACTGTGGTCGTGCCTCGCAGATTGGCTGGTGCAATCCGTGTTGCATAGACCGGCGATTCCCTTCCATCTGCATCGGACTAGACCCGATCACGACGCGCTGCCCCGCCTACTCCGCCACGCCTTGCTGCCGAAAGCCTCGGCGGTGACGTGTGCCTTTGAAAGCGGAAAGCCTTACAAATTCTTTTTTTTTACCTAAACAAAAATACTTGTCCATATCACGGAAATATCACTTGGTTTCGATTGCTGCCTCCCCTCCCCCGGCTCCCTCAGCAGATGGGCGAGGCGATGGGCGTGTGGTACGGCTGGTGGGTGGCGGGCGGCGGCTCGCTGGGGCTGCGGCCCCGCAGCGGGGGCGGCGGCGGAGGCGGCCCCACGCCGGCCCACGGCTGCAGGTTCTGCAACGCGCTCAGGGCGCCCGCCCCCGGGGGGCCAGGCGGCGCGGGGTGCTGCTGGGGCGGGCTGCCGGGCGCGGCCGGGTGGTCGCCGTTGAGCCCGGCGCCGCCGCCGCCGCCGTGGGCGCCGCCCCTGCCCTGGTCGGCGGGGTGGTGGTGCTGGAGGGGCGGCCGCTCGAACATGCCCTTGCTCAGCGCCTCGGCTTGCAGCGACATCATGAGCCGGTTGGCCGCCTGCCGCTCCGCCTCGCGCTCCTCCGCCGTCTGTCTCCTGCAACACACACAAGCACTACATTAGGGCGGGCCGCACATGTCACGCTCTCTGGCCGTCAGGCTGCCGGCCGTTACCCCCGCAGGCCGACCCGCGACACACGACCCGCGATATTCGGCGCAGCGCTTCATGTAAAATTCCCATATTCCGACGCGCGTTGTCTGCCGCGGGATTCATTCCAGCCGTCTGCGGCGGCGTGGTGGTGTGGGTAAGGAGTATGGGAGCGCTGACCCGTCAGAATGGGCGGGGCGGGCTGGCGGGCTTGGGGTTGGTAGGGGGCGCCGCCGACGCCGAGTGACACGACAGCGCGGCCCCTGCCTGCAGTGGCGGCAGGCAGATTCATACTACTGCCGGGAAAAAGAGGGGAAAAGTTGTCGGCGCCGTCAGCGAGCGCTGTTATGTGGCAGCACGGAGGCCGCACGGCCGGGCTGGGGAGCGCATGCAGGGGTGCGGGCACTTGGCGGCGACATGCTCGCGTAGCGCAGGAGCCGATGTGAGCTGCCCTCTGCCCCACCTCCCCTATGCAGAGAGTAACCAAAGCAAAGGGCCTGCGAAAGGGACACTCGTCGAAGCTCTCAACACCTCCTGCCCTGCACATGCACCCGCCCCGCAGGCCTACCACACGGTGAAAACTCCTTAAAAGGGCCATCGGAACGATTCGAGGACGACCATGCAATTTTCCCCACCCCGTCCTTGAATCCTTCCGATGGTCCTTGGACAAGAAACAATTTTTACTGTGACTAGTCCCAGGCCGCGGAGCATGAAAAATATACGGTCAGCGCATTTCCTGCGCGACCTGGCTATGGCTGCGGTATCGCGCCCGCGCCGGTGCATGAGAGCGTGCTCGGCCTGCTCCTGTAGCTCGTCACCACGCCCAGGAGGAGCCACGGGCCGACGGGCCGGGCCGGGGGCGCGCTGCCGTCGATGGCCGTGATTTGTCGTGCAATCCATTACACGTTCGGCCCCGAGGCGGCCGCAGCCGCCACCCCTTCCGTGCGTCCCTCACCGCCCCCACCCACTCCGCCCCACGCGAACGGACGCTATGGTCAGCCCGCCGCCCTCACCCCAGCCGCACGGGGGGCCCCGGCCACGGACCGTCTGGTCGCAAAAGCTGACGAAATTTTTAAAGTCCACCGCCCTGCATTATGGATGGCAGACACAGCTACGTCGTTCTCCGCCCTCAAAAATTCACGACTCCTGTTTGGGTCTGGTGTGCTGCTGCTGCTGCTGTGGGTTCCGCCCGCAAGACCCCTCGGCCCGCCACGCCCCGCCACCAAACGACCCCTCTCTATAGCCGGCGCCCCAGCGCGCACCGTGCTCGTCGTGGGGTGCTTGCCCTCGGCGGGGAGGGGGCGGGGAACGCGGGGAGAGGGGGAGAGGGGAGTGATCAGATTCATTTACTCGCACTACACCTGTGCTGTTTGGTGACGGCGAGGGCGTGCCGCAGGGGTCCGGGGAG